GCCGCTAGTCCCTCAGACGTCGCCGCTTCCAAGTTGAGACATGCCAGGTCGTCCACCACCTTCAGCCACAATGCATCAGTCCTCTAGCCCTATGAGCCGTGCGCCCCCCTTACCAATTCCCCGGACAGCCGTATGGGAAACCGTCCACGAGGTCCGGAGGACCTGAAGCGAGACCAAATGCTCCGAATCACATCGGTACATGAGCCGAGTCGGCCATAACGACGGGGTTAATCTGGAAAGTCCGACCGCGAACGCAAGAAGATGCATGGCAGTGCTGCGTTGGCCCAAATTGCCCCGTGGTGTCTGAAGACGCTGACCTGTTGTCTACGAGAGCTCATTGCTGACGCTCGTAACGCTCTTGCCGAACTTATTTTCGTTGATTATGGCGATAGACACATTCGTCTGACTTGACCACCACCGTGATTCGTCAGGAGATAATGATAGAACACCGATGCCGTGGATCGATATTGTCCAAGGTTGACACTGCAATTCCAGTCTATCTTTGTTCCCACACATAGGCACTGCATCGAGTCGCTGGCGGACGGCATCGACTATGAGTGGCCAGATGCCGCCACCACAGTTGGCCAGACACATTTTGTGCATCGAAGAGGGCGCGACAAGAATATGTGCTAAGTGCGCCATTGCAAGCGGGTGGTGCGCCGCCAAGTTGATCGATCTCTCGACATTAGGAGGGGGGCGTGTCTCTGGCACCTCTTGGTCATGCCCCTCGTAGGGCGCTTGGTGCGAGACGTTGAATCCTCCCGATGAGCCAAATCATCCATGCTCGCATGAACCTGATTAAAGGCGTTCGGGATGGATCGCGCCGTTACATTTCACGACCAGAAGCCACGCAGGCCAGGCCAGATTGTAACAATGTTTTCTTCGCACTTTTGCGGGGGTTTGGGTGAAGGCGATTGGCAGGTTCGGGTTGATATATCAGGTCCCGCCATGCCAAAGTGCCAAACAAGTCGTAAGCAGAGTGGACTTGAATATCCGTACAATAGCAATACGTTAAAGTCCCCATAATAAAGAAGGAGCCAGGGTCTGGCCAACGATCGTGGATACTGTGGTGTGTCTGTCTACTCGTTTGCGGCACAGCCGCAGCATCTCAAGTCCACAGGGCAACTGGATGTAACAGTGCTGGGCCACGTCGAGCGTGCAGATGACGGCCATATGTCAACTTGAATCCAGTGCTTCAGCTCATCTTTTGACAAGGGGTGTGCTGCAAGACGCAGGCTTTCCGTTTGAGAGTGTACGGGCGAGCGTGTGCTGTTTTGGAACCTGACGCTGCATGTCAGACTTTGGAGCAAACCAAGACGCAGATGGAGAACGGTCGGTCCCTCGTAGGGCTGGGAGGAACACTTGGGGCCGGCAGCGGAAGGATTCTGAGTGTGTCTAATGGCCGGTATGTACGAGTGTACGGAGAAGGGTTCCGTCGGCCAAAGGTGTAAACGTAAAATACGTGTTGAGGGCGTATCAGTACGTCCACGTACAAAGGTCCCATCCGTCTGGTCAGCCACGGCACCAGCTGGCCCGCGAACAGACCATGACGTCGTAGGCGCGGTACTCAAATTTGGTCTCACTGCGGATTTCCCTCTACCAAAACATTTGTCGGAGGGAAGTGGTTTGGGTGAAAGAGCGATTATTCGTGACGGTGACAGCGTAGAATTTGAGGGGATTCATTCATGGATGACGTCGACGTATCTAGAGCAGAGCCGTGCCGCCCCTCTGCATATCTTGTCGACGAATCGGCAGGCAGTATACGCGGCTTTTCTGGCTACGCTCGTGAACACGGAGAGCAAACCAGAAGAGGCAGTTCAACCCTTTTCCCAACGTGAGTATGCATTCCGCCGTGTGGTGTGACCTATGCGTCTCGTGCAGGCAGCCCTAAATCGCTCTGCCCTACAGGGCCAGAGAACATCGGGTACTCTGCGTACCCAAGGAGACCTGGCTGTTCCTCGCCAGTCTTTGAGGTCTGTGAAGCCGCGACGATTTTGGCGGCGTTCGACCTAGAGACGCCATGGTCTGAGGCACGGCGCTCCCAACTATTGCATTTATAATCTGCTGACATATAACGACGAGCGCCCGCAACCTGGTCTATGCTGTCTGTGCCGCCGCGAAACTTCCGGAGGTCAGGCGAGGGTTAGAAGAGCTAGGCATTGTTGATGATGCGTGGCCTAAAACCTGTCTCTTGGCTCTTCAAGTCAACGCCCGCTTCTTAGCTTCAATGTGAGCCTTCAGGACATCAGAGCTTGTTCGAGCCTTTGCGAAGTCGGAGACTTCGACAGCCTCTCGGCGACTTTGACTAGGTCGGGGTGAATCCGGGGTAAGAGGCACAGTCCTCCCCCATCGGCCAAGGATTCCGCAAAGTCGATCAGACTAACAGTGAGATTTCCTTTCAGCAAACTGTGTCCCTTGGCCGGGATTTGGTAGACCTGGTAGCATCATAGATTCGGGCCCCTTGGTGAAGCACGGTGTTTCTAGCAAATCATCAGGAGAAAAGAATGATATGATCCCACGCGGAGTATGGGAAATGCAAAACACTGAAGAGTCGGTGACGCTAACAATTTTAACGTAGCAGACAGACGCCATTTCCATCTCTTTGCAGCTCAAGACCGCAGTTATATGTGGGAGAGCGGAGAGAATCTCAAGCAAAGTGGGATTCTGCGGTGCCCACTGCACGCATGCGGGTTTCTTGTTCACAGGGCAGTGTTGTATGCCGTGTGCAGCGTGCTGCAGAACGACGGGGAATATGAGGAGTCCACGGAACACCCCTAGCCCGGTGGGCTACAGCCGCTTGAGCTGTAAAAGGCGAGATGGGAAGATGCAAGACACTTCTGAAATGTCTATGGTGAAATTTCTAGGGCCCGTAATATGAAACACAATGGTAAGCAGGACGTCTTCCTGTGGAGGTTCTCATTTGATGAATGTCCGTGGGTGCCAGCGTCGTTGGTGCAACGGTACAACCTAACCTCGTGTGCCGAGTGCTTTCGACAACGTTTGGTTTTACGACTTCGCAACCTCGGCCTTTTCCTTATTGAGTCGTTTACGATAAATCAAATGCTTGGCCGGTGCATTGTGTTCATTGCTTTCAAGGGGTCCCAAGGGGCCCCATCACGCTGCCCATCCATACTGTCGGAGCTTGGGGGCGAGTCCCGAGACTTTGGAGCTCACTCGTCCGAGACCGTGGCATGCCGCATGAGCAGTGGGCTGTTCAGAGTTCAGAGTGCCTGGCAACCCTGGCCGTCTGGTCTCCATTTCGATGGGCAGTCGTCAACGTGGCAGTTGTTCCTCTACTCCGTACACACTTCAAGGGTCCGTTCAGGGTGCCAACAGCACTCGCATCTTCACTCCTTTGGGAAGCAAGCTTCTGCTGTGTATTTGCGGTGATTCGGGTTATCCGTACGGACGCAGCCAGTCCGGGTCGGGTACGGAGTGGTTATTGCAACCTAGCTCAATGTGGCTCCGTAGGATTTGGAGTTGACGTTCGGATAGCAAGGTGATGATGAAAACCAGGATTCAATCGTCAACCGCCAGAACTCAGGCTTTGGGAGCAGCGGTGAGGCCGAGGTTCACAACGCTCACCACAACGATTAAGTTGATGATGTCTCCCATCGGAGGTGGCAGGTGCTCCCTAGCCTTCTACAAGTCCACGCTGATGACAACTTGGGGCGTGGGCAAAAATGCAATGGATCCGGGGCCGGATTGAAGCGTGACACTGCAGCTTGTCTTCATCGACCCGAACTTGTGTCAAACCTTGAGATTTGTCCAAAGTTTCGCAGTCTTTCCTAGTCTGGCAATTCGTAAATCTGGCCAACGAGTTTCCGACCGTAATCTTCGATCTTTCCCGCTTCTTGCGTCTTCCATGCGTATGCGTACGTCTCACATAATCAGGGATGCTTTAGGACGCAGCCTATTGACGAAAGCGCAACGATCCGCGATGACCGTGAAAGTGGTGAGAACTCAAAGCGTCGTATTTGGACCTATTCCCCTCTCACACACATGGGTCGCACGAGTAAAGAGACGTTTCCTTAAAAAAAAGTGCTTGTTGCGTTTGCATCTGGCAGAGGCTCGATTTTGAAGGGGTGAATGTCATCGGACCCAAGCCAATGAATTCGCAGCTCATCGCCGATGATAACATCTGACTGGTATCAGAACCCCACGGCTTCACGCTGAGGCACTCTCTCTTCTCTCTCGGTTCGATTTTTTCTCAGCTTCTGCGGTCATCACATTGTGTCCAGGTGCGTTTTTTTTTTTTCTTTTTTTTTGCGGCAAATCAACGGGCCACCTGAGGATCGATCTCGTGGCTTGAATGCTGTCCATTGCTTTGAACGTACATGCGCGCCATGGACCAGGCTACATGGCGTGAACAGGTGAGCCAGAGATAATTGGCTCGAATAAACGCTGGCCGTCAACGCCATCGGATGTTTTCGCTAGGCAAAGTGTAATATGTGCCGGAATGTCTGAAAGCGTTTATGACCCAAAAGTCGGGAAATCATAATCCCAGTATCCGTAAAGATGCTTCGGATATGATAGGTACTGTATGGCCAAGAAAGAAGCTAGAGTTGGTGAAAACAACATGGTCATCGGTGCCAACCCGACCCAAACCAAAGTTTAAGCCTTGTGGGATTAATATCGTAGTGGCAGGGACTTTCCCGGTAATGTCGATGACGGACGGCGGATTATGGGGCGCTTGCTGTATTACTCAAGCCCTCAGTGCCCGTCTAATGTGTCAGTCGGAAGACCTCCGCTTGAAATGTGTGGCTCATCTCACGGCCTGAGCCCGTTGCTGATGTGATTAGGGCGACTGGCGTTGGTGCAGTCCACAAGCCCGGGCCTCAATGGGGCTGCACCATCTCGTCCGAAGCTGTAGCTCTGGGGGTCCAGCTTGAAGCGGCCTAAGAGCGACGATCGCGTTTTGCGTCTCAAGGCAGCAACAAAATGCACCTTGGACCAGCTGGCCCTAGGTTTCTCCGTCTAATTTAGAATATGCAGCACCTTCAGGATGCCGACTCACGGCCTGAGATGCTGCCGGGCGTCAGATGCAGTTCGACCACCACGGAAACCAGCCGCAACATGGAGGCGTTGGTGCAAGGCCACGGATGGCCACCGAAGTGACTTGAAACAGCGATGAGCAGCGTGGGCTTGCCACAAGTGGAACGCCACCAATGGTGACAGTCAACGTTTGCTCGAGTGAGGTGGCGTCCAGACTCGTGGGTGTGATGTTCCAGAGGGGCGGGCAGCAGCTCGTAGTAGGTATGTACGCGACTATGGTAGCTACAATCATGTTGGTGGTTGGACTGAATTGGTGCTTTTAGAACTCTACCGGTAGAGCCGAATCGGAGAGGTAGCCGTGCAATGCGAGGTTCCTTTGTTACGGCGGTTGAGTTGTACCGCTGTAGATGTGCTGTCTGCTGACGGCCAGCAACACCCTTGACTGGCAATGATGTGCATCGTCCTGTCACTCAACGAGACTGGGCCGAAGCCAATTGTTACTTGAAGGCTCTTTCTTCCCCCACACGTTGGAGATGATGACATGGCGTACCTTCGAGGGGGGACTTTTGTTGGCTGTTGAGCGGTAGAAGCTTGTGGAGAGCGACGGCGCATCTGATGAACGCCCGCGAGAGAGAACGATGAGGGCGCTGTAAAACTGAAAGACCAAGCCACGCCCCGAGTTCCCGGGCGAGCCCTATCCGTGATTTAGTTTAGTGAGCTTCGAAACTGTGCTGGATATACCATGAGCAGGTAGCGCGGCAACGATCCAGTACCTTAGGCCTGAGGCTCAGTGTCTCCTCACCCCAGCCCTAAAGGGCGTCAAGGTGCGGGCGACGGCGTCATGTGTGGTCTTCTAGTGCGTCGGGAAGTGACCGAGGTCACGATTCGGGAGAAGGACGCTGATTGAATAGAGTAACGAGCTAGATGTGGTCAAGACTCAAGGGACGCCCCATGATTCGGACAACAAGCGACCGAGGACGCTGAGGCCGAGAAGGCGAGATGGTCTACTACTGCGTGGACAGCCGAGCTGGACTGACAGGCTTGACGAGGTGCAGAAGGATGAAGCGCAGCCAAGGACTGGTAGAAGAGTCTGCCTAACGGCGATGCAAACATGCGAGAATAGCGGCGATGTGATGGGGACAGAGCCTTGTCGTCGCGATGGCAGTGCAGCGGAGACATCTGTATCCGTACGGGTACTGGTATTGCGGTGAAGGCACACCTTGGAAAACCGTTTGCCAATGTCTACCTAGGACTTTCTTCCCTTGCTCAGGTTGCCGATGGCTGAGTGAAGTGTTTGAATGGCATGGCATGGCTTGGATGGCCGGTCGTGCTTTCTCTGTGCGAATATCCGTATGAAGCCCAGTGGGAAAGATGCAGCTGTATCTGTTTTCGTATAGACACTTCCATCAGTAGCAAGAGTGGGTGAGTGGTAAGGACGACTGGAGGTAAGTACGGAGTACTCTGTACCTTATCCGTCCATGCCAACGTTGATGGGGGAGGGGTGCACGGTAAGGTAAGGTAAGGTAAGCCGTTGACGTTACCGGGCCTGCCCTTGCTACTCTGGATTTTAACGACTGCCTAAGATACCTGGTCTGGCCTGGCCTCGCCCATCCGCACCAAGATCTCGGGACCGGACGAGGTCAAAGCCAGCCGGCGTCTGGCAGTAGCCACCAAGGGTGTGTTCTGCCGGCGGGAGAGAAATTAGAAGGGAGATGGGGGTTGAAGACTGTCAGTGCCTGCGATGAAGTGAGTGAAGGAGCTTTGCCAAACACAGCTGCATCGCTTGAGAGGTGGGTTTGCGTCCGTAAGTGTAATCTGTGCGCAACATCCCGGTCCTGAGGTGAACACCAAGTGATGACCAGCGGAGCGGCGCCGGCAGGCAATTTCCAACTTGTCCAACTTCCACTGGGCCTCGCGAGTCGGAGGTTGTCACTGCTCACCTCAGGCCAACAAGGTGTGTTCTACGGAGTACGTCTCCGAAGTATACCGAGGTCGGCTGCATTAGGTAAGCCCGATGAGGAACCGCACAACGTACTACGTTAGTACACTAAGGTAAGGTAGGTAGGCAAAGTCACTAAGTACTCACAGATCCACTTCAGGGTTGACCCCAAGCAGCACGGTCTGTCGATCAGAAGCTGACTTTAATCACATCGAGCAAGCACGGTTCACTGCTTGGCATGGCAGCAAGCTGGGGTTGACCTTCACCCGACATCCATGAACGAAACGATGTATCCCTACGGGGTGAACAATGATGAAAGGTGTCCACAGGGTAAGATGATGGTTAGCTATCCGTAGAAACATCAACGGGGTCATTGCAGAAGACCTTTGTCAGAACGGTACGAACTTTTGTCATTTGCGTCAAGCTGAATTGCTTGATAGGTGGTCTCGAATAATTCAGCCCAACTCGGCCACGATAACAGCAACAGTAACGACCACGGGAGCAGAACCTGCCTGTAAGACTTAGAAAAGCAAAAAGGAAACTCGTTGATCGTCTGACTGGATGTCTCTAAAAGAAATTTGGGGCAAGTTGCACCCGTGGGAGGCAGACTACGGATAGATGGTATATCCGTACCTAGTAGGTGATGACGGGTCAGACTCAGACACGAGATTGGTCAAATAAGCCGAGACGCCCGAGTTCCTCACCTCATCACCTTAGAAAAGTCAAGGGTAGGCATGTCCAGCATCTTACGGGTATTTACAATGTGGCGTACAGGTCAGTGTGGGAAAAGGCCATTGGCTTAGGTTGTTTTTCCATGCTGACGCCTTACGGACGCTATTTGGCTGTCCCGCGCGGGAGAGCTTCCCAGATCCATGCCTTCCATTTGTTACTCTACCTTTTAGGTTAACAACGTGGGGAGGTAGGCATCCGTCGCCTTTAAACGACCCAACTTCTGTCATGGCCGAGGAACCTTGGTCGTCCGACGTCTCGCTGCTCCGGAAAAAAAACCCTCAAGGAGAAAAGAAAGTTGACCCAAATTTGGAAAGACGAACAAATGATTAGAAGGAGGCCGGGAAATAGAAAAGACCTGGGAGCAAGCAGACGAAAAACAAAGCCAAAGCCAATTATTGACACACCCAAGACACCCACCCACGTCTTAGAGGTATGGAAGTTGGGACTTTGACATTGGACAGCAAAACGCCTAGCGCACGTAGCGCACCCACTGCGGCTACCCTGGCGCAGACATCTCACACGCTCGTCTAACCTTCTAAATCGAGCCATTGCAGGTCCCATTTGCCGCTGCGGTGCCGGTCGGGGTGGTTGTTGTCCTAAACTAAGGTATTGGTAATCCGTCATCCGAATGTACATTGCCCCAATGTGCGTAATGAGGTAAGGTAAGGTCAGATGTACGGAATTCTAGTGCTCATCCTCGTCCGCACACCCACTTCCATGTCTTGCCCCGGATACGGACTCGGAGCAATGAGAGACGACACAAAGCCGATGCGCGGCGGGGTCTGTCGACGACCCCATACCTGACGTACATCCGTAGGGTATTGCCTTCGTTTGTCGTGTTTTACGCTCGCCCGGGATTGGTTATCTCGGTGACATACGGACACTCCGTACGGATGGAACGAGAAGTAAGGTAGAGATTGTGGACACGGGATAACGTCGAGTCACCGCCATATCTCCCGTCGGCATAAATGGAAGGAATGGCAGGCAGGGTAAGGTAGACTGGACTCCCATTACTTTAGACGCAATAAGTATGCAAGAACGGAGCCCGTATCCGTGAGGTACCCTGAGGGAAACGCCTTGAAGAAGATGCTGAAGGAAACAGCAATCGTGATTTTCCTTGCTCGTTCCCAAGGCTGCACCTGCCTTACCTTGCCTCGCCTTACTGTGCCGTACCGTCCGTAGGAACATCCAGGTAGGTACGGATATCTAGGTAGCTACCTGCCTTACAGGATCCCTGGATACGTATCTACTCTTTCTGCCCCGGTTCCCCATGAGGCGCTCTTCTAGACCCGAATAAGATTAGATCCTCATGACCCAGACAGTACGTACCCTGCCTGGCGCTTTCCCGACCACACCGTGCATCCCCACTCCCGTCCTGAACGACGAACGACAGCTCCAATCTCCAAGGCCTTTTTTTTTTTCTTGCTCCCCTTCTTCTCCAATTATCGTCTCACCCAACCTGCTCACATTCTCTCCACCACCATATCCAAGACTGGGCCACATGCGGACAAAGCAGCGACAAGGATCCCGATCCTTTATTTTCAAACTCTTGGGGGAATCCAAGGGACTTGTCATTCCCTCGCCATTTGTCGCACCTGGACTCTTACGTTCTCCCCTGGGTCTCCTCTCCTATCCGCCCTCCGTTTCGCGAATACGTCCTGTTCGCACAATCTCTCTGCTGAACGCCGCCTGCACTTCGACGGAGACGGTCAACACCTGGCCCGTTCTGAACCGTCCTCCCGTGTCAATCTCTCGTCTTCACCTAACCTATCCGGGCATCTTGTTATTCTGCAATGCAGCGGTATGGATTGGCTTCCGCTTCCGCTTCCTTCGTTCCCAATTTGAGTCGCCCATCGTTGTGGGCACTACCCAACCCGCCCGTTGAGAGCATCTAGTGTCCGGCTTCTTCTTCAAACGGTTTCCTTCTATCGAAGTACCTCAGTCTTCCAATTGGACTTGGGAATTCGATACCGCTGCTTACCCTCTATCTGGTTTGCTGTCGATGCTGCCAAGAAAACAGACGAATTGAGCACAAAAAAAAGAATGAGAAATAATCGCTTCATATCCTTAGACAGGGCAGCGTCACAGCCCATCGGACCAACATCAAGTTCTTGCTCTGCCCGTCCAGTGCCGGGCTAGGTTTGCTACGCAAAACCGCCGTCCCGACGTACTGGCTCCCGGCCCAACACTGCCATTTCCTGGGGCCCAGTTGTCAGTCACCTACTGCAACTTAGACAACCTCAAGAGGGCATGGATACAGGATGCCACACACACACACACACACACGCACTCACATTCAACCATACACAGGCTTCCTCGCGACACACACACACACGCACACACTGGCTGCTAGGCCCGGCATCCTACTAACACATCATTTCATCTTTCCTAGGTGTTCTCTTGCGCGCGCAGCGGTTCCTCAGTCCTAGCTTGCTGGAATATCACCTCGTCGAATCGATGATCGAATGCCCTCAACTCAGGGTACTCAGACATACAATTACGGCCCCTGGTTCCCCGTTAACGTCGAAACTGCTGCCTCAATAGGGAATAAGGTCAATTGAAGTCCCATTACCCACTCTTTCCCGATCACAGACCGGCTGGGACGGGTTCAAGTCAAGGGCTCCCCTTCCCCGTCACCAACATCCGTGGACCGTCATCTTCTTCCCTGAGCCCTTCCCCGAGGCCCAGCACCAGCACAGATACCTAGTACTACCTTACTGTGTAAGGTAGCTGACCCAGAAACCCAGAAACCCAGAACCCAAGGGCCGGTCTCTGACGGCCAGCCAGGGCTCGAGCGATGTCATCCATGATCCATCCTCTACTTTCCACACCTCTTTCACCTAGCAGTGCTTTAGTGCGCACTAGCCTTAGCCCTGCAGCCCGTCTCAAGCTTGAAGCAGGGACGTTGACCAGGGCGTTTCGTTACGGCTGCCAATGCTTTTGCTGGAAATGCTGGAGCCTATCGATCCCTTCCCCGTCCCCTCCATAGCCCCATGTCTTTCTTCACTCATCAACTGTGCCCGTCTGCCCATCATCCCCCTCTACTGTGTATGGATACCTCAGCACGCTCCGCAACCCTCACTCACTCTTACTCTCGCTCTCATTCTCACTCCCCCCAAGGTCTCATTAATTCTGTATTGCATGTCACTCGCACTCGCTCACACGCCTTTAGCAGCGTGCCTCCGCTCTGCGCGCGCTTTCGCTCTTACACCATGCGCTAGGAACTCTCTCGCCCGCTCTCACCTCCGTTTACACCCCTCCCCTCCGCTCCCAAGCAAAAGTCTGCCCTCGTTCCCCATCTTATACACGCCCCCTTATTCTCCACACCATTCTGGTGTGTTGCGATCACACCCTCACACCCTCCATAACATAACAGTTTACACACAATGGGCGCTGGTACCTTACTCTGTTCTCCATCCTGGCCTGGTCACTCAATCCCATCTTTCTTACCCTGAACCCCTGCCCGCCGTCTGGACTTACCTCCATGTAGTGTAGCTTGTCTCTTTGAACATGTCCGTCTCTTGTGTCTTCTCTCCTCTCATGCGATGAAAAAGGTACGTCCAGAGGTCGGGATCTGGGCTACCATCTCCACAGCTTTTCACTGCCCGCTTGCCATTTATAAGCCAGTGCCCGCTCCTAGGCCTGTGAGGCTGAGATCTTTAACCTTCTGGTGATATCCAAGTTTAGCATCTGTGATCTCGTTGAACCAAAAGCCTCCACCTGGCGAGCAAGCAATCCTTCCTTCTCCAGACCTCAAAATCGTTGCCTGATCGTACTGGTCTCGTTATAAGTCGTCGATCCGGGTCTTCGAGTATCAAACATCGTCACTGGCTTGATACAACTCATCAACTGGTAACAACGCTTGGACATACACAGCAAAAGGTATACTCTTACACAAGTACATCTCGACATCAACTCTTCAACAACCTCGCCCGTATGTGCCATCCAGAGTTTCTTCATCGTCGTCCTTCTTCTTTTTCAATGGCTTCCAGTTTTTCTGAGCAGGGTTGCGAGGACTCTTACTCACTTCCACCCAGATCTAGAGCAGGGAGCCGTGTATCAGCTACAGCTGCTCAATTCGCCAACATCCAACTAGTCGACTCCCCCAGAACGCTACCGTTAGAGTCCAGCCCCTCGGTCAGATCTGAGGCTCTCCATTCCTCCGGCTATATCAGTCCCAACCCGCCCAACTCCGCAACCTTTCTCTCAACCTCCAACTCACAAGGATACTCGCCCTTTCCCCTCCTACCTCCTGAGATCTTGAACGCAGCAGAGTGGAACGAACACGAGGTACATCACACTTCGGATTCGACCCCTCTAGTCAGAGTGGACCCCGCCCAGGACTACTCTTCCAACCAGTCCTCTCCGCCACTGAGAACCGGAGCAAGCATGAGGTGCGCTTCCAACATTGTACCAGCCACTAGACTATAAAGACCATCTAACACTTCCTCCTTCTTCAGCACTGTTGCTATTCCATTTGACCCTTCGTTCACCATGGGAAGCCGATCAGCATTCACTTGGCCTGGTAATTAACCGTCCATTTCAACTCCCCTCTTGTACCCTTCTGGGATCCTCTAACAATCTCAACTTGAAGGTCTCGACAACCCCGAAGCAAGCGGATCATTACTTGGCCACAACCTCTCTTCCCTCGGACACCATCACCAAGACGCCAGCCTCACACCACCCAGCGGCTCCAGATCAGTAACCGCAAGTCCGCCACGGGGGACTTTGACACCAGAGCAGAGGGAATTGAAGAAGCAGAGAGACATGGCTCGTCGAGACTCAAAGGCATCACAACGCGTCCACAGAGCTGGTAGCAACCCCTACATCCATTCGCCTCCCCTCAGCCTACCCGACGTCTCTTCAACAATGGGCGTACCCGTGTACACGACAGCACCGGCGCCAATCTCCCTTCTCGCAGAGCCGGCAACTTCAATGGGATCGTCATCATACCTCCCCTCTTACAGCCCGCCTCTGTCAGACCATGGCTACCAGAGCGGATACCCACCAATGGCCCAGGCCTACGGCATGGGTGGCATGGACTACTCCAACCAGTTCCAGCCGCCAGCACAATACGGGTATGTTACGAGAGAGATGGGGATGGCCCAGGAAAGACGCTTCGAAACTAACAAGAACCAACGCAGAAGCCGACACTCGATGCCTGTTGGACAAGACCCGAGCCTGATGTATGGCGTGCCGCCATCGATGGGCCCTGGAGCCCCAGACCAAGGGGGGCACGTCAGAGTGGTGCAGAGCCGGCCTAAACCTCAATGCTGGGAACACGGCTGCAACGGAAGACAATTTTCAACCTTTAGCAACCTCCTGAGGCACCAAAGAGAAAAGTCTGGGCAGGCGACCAAGGCCACATGCCCTAATTGCGGCGCCGAATTCACAAGGACGACGGCAAGGAACGGCCACCTTCTCCACGACAAGTGCAAGCAGCGCCGAAACACGTGAGTGCTGTCGGCCGTTGGAACCAACAGCACGCGAACGGGGGAGAGAAAACCAGCAACAATAACAACAAAAGTCCCTTTTTCCAACACACACACACACATACGCAAGCCATGCAAGGACCTTACGGCCGTGCTATTTGCGGATGGAGGGGGGAAAATACCAGATCCGTTTTACCATTCGAACTGTACATGTTTGGGGCATTCGAGCATTTACTTAAACAGGAAACGAGAGAAGCCGAGGAGGGTTACAAAAATATCGCTGGAAAGGAGAGAGGAGTCACATAGGTAGAAGTTGTCCAACGAGCTTGTCATTGGCACACTTTTTTTTTTGGGAGTACATTTTTTTGTTTCTTGGTTCTTTCATTTGGGTTATTTGGGTTTTCCTACCGGGGAGGTGTTTTTTCGGTTTGTTTTCGCTTCGTCATCTTTCTTCGTTCTCACGACAATTTTGGAAGGCTTTTGTTTATGGGGGAAGCAGCGGCAGGAGCAGCACCAACGGCATCTTCTTCTACTCAACTTTTCGATACCGATGTCGATATCGATAGAAACTTGAAATATACCCTTTCACTAGCGTCAAAAAGAACGCATCTTTCTACATACACGTTCCAATCCCGTTGTCTCTCTGTGCATCAGCGTCAAAATTAGAAAACACCATTGTCCGTCTTACCGACGTCGTCTCATCTCGTCTCGTCTTACAACTCATCTGTAAGACGGACATGGCACCCGGCTTCCGTGGAGAAATCCTTTTTTTTTTGTTTTCCCTTTGTGGTTATTTTTGACTAGTAACAAGTAACAGCAGTGCGCGCAGACTTACCTAGCGGACATGGCATCCGAACATTTTAGGCGTGAGAAAACAAATCTTGTTGCCTTGAAGGATAAATTACAAGCATCATTGAACGCACGTCATATCGAATAATCAAATTTTTGAATTTTCACTTTCGCTCTTTCGCTCTCTCGCTCTCATATCCGCCTTGTCGTTAGTCTACATGTGAAAGACATTACCAGGGGAAGGGGGGGCCTGGCGGAAGTGGTGAAGCGGGAGAAGGGAAAAAAGAAAAGGCCTCTGCAACCCCGGCACTTTTTCGCTTGAACCCCTGGCAATCTCGAAATTGGGTGAGTCGCCCGCAACCGGCAGCCCGCAATGTCTCTCAAGTTCCCTCACGCCCACCCCACCCCTTTCTCTGTTTCGGGCATTTGTTACCACCGACCGTGGAAACGACCAAGCCATCCAAGCTAGGGCCCTTGAATCTTATGAGTGAGCGAGCGAGAGCGGGGAGGGAGAAATGGCTACTATCCAAAACAATGGGAACTTCGAAGAGGGGCGGGCCCAAGGAACAATTGTTGTTGGCGGCCGCCAAACGACGCCGTGACGCTGGGTCCCTTGTCAAGGCGGCCGCGGAGGCCAAGTAAGAAGAGTGAAAACGAGGTTGGGAAGACGAACAGGGACCTGCCCTTCTCTCTCCCAAACATACAAAGGAGGGAACAATAAGCATTTTCGCTGGGAAGGGGTTTACGAGATGACAATGGAGCTCCCCCCGATCATGCGGCATAGTCTGGTAGGCTAGTTGGATTTGGAATGCGGTACTCCGTGAGGGAAAATGGGGACAACCAAGCAGGAAATATGAGTACATTACCTTACATTGCTTTACATCCGATGTCGTTGGATCTTTTGTCAATTCGTCAGAATTGGAGATACGACGGATTGTGGAGGGTTAGACGTCGGATGGACCAAGGTTTGGATGGATGAAGGAGGGGGGCGCGACGACGTTTCCAGCGAGGGCAACGGGAGGAGAGGAAAGGTCCTAGCTTTCGGAGTCGCTCTCCGTCCATAGGGGAGACGCTGATGCATAAGCGCCAGCGCCAAGTGAGCTATGAGCCGGGGGCTTCCTAGTGATGTCAAGATCAGTCGAGCGGAGTTGGAGAGGAGACCGTCGTGCTTTATCCGACTTTTGCAAGGGCCCGGCGGAGACTCGAACACCGGTGGGCTCCCCCGGTTCCCAGCCGTGGAACTCACGGATCGTGGGGCTGGATTTCCAGGCCACCGGCGGAAGCAATCTATCGTCCACGTGTACTTCGGACGGGGAGGTGTGAGAGAATGGCATCTGTGATCTGGTAGACTGGTACGCGGCTCGCCCAGCATCCCATCTCGCTTGCTTACTATCGCTCGCCGACATGGAGGACCATCGGATGATATCAAGAAAAATATGGGGATTCTTGGTGGTGGATGGAGGTCCCCTCTTCACGCCGGTGCCGGACCGAGACGGCGCGCAGCCAACTTGGGGGGGGGGGGGGGGGGGGCTTGGGGGGGGGGGGGGGGGGGGCGGGGGGTGGCAACAAAGGTGGGGGGGGTTGGGGGGGGGGGGGGGGCGCCCCTGGGGGGGGGGGGGGGGGGCGGGGGGGGGGGGGGGGGGGGGGGGGGGGGGGGGGGGGGGGGCGCTTTGGCGCACTTTGAGGATCAATATATGATGCCATTGTTGACTGGGGATCGCCCCAAAGTGTCTCCATTTGTGAGTCGTAGTGTTAGAACCGGGATGGCTAGCAGAGCCGCTGCGAGCAAGTGGCTGCCGTGCAACGTTGAGAAGCCGTGGAGTCGAAAGATGCTTTACCAAGTTTACGGGTCGACTGGCGTAGGATCGGCACCGTACAGGCGGACAAGGCAGGTATCAGACATCCATACTGGCCGCGGATGCGATTGCCTTCTTCTCGAATTCTCCCTCACCCATTCGACATCGCCCGATACCAGGACAGCAAAGTTTGCAGTCATCTCTTGTTCGCGAGAAATGCTGATTTGACGTCCATCGGACCAAAGCCGAGACAAAAACGCTAGTCGGTAGACCATCCAGAGTTGAGCGACACATGCAATGAATACTTGGAAGAGTATGCAGTTGGCCGAATCAGGCTGACCGACTTGCATGCTGCCATCGGACAAGGAAACGCAAGAGGGGCCAGTCGACTCAACCCAAGCCTCTTCTGTCTAGTGTAACTGGTCCCGGCGGGCAATTGAAGACCCGCCTCCCGTCACAACGGACCTGGTTGGGGGACTAGGAACCTGGGACCCGGGCTCCCAGGGCTCACAAGGGAGAGCGGGCAGCGATCGCCGTCGCAGACGACCCAGACAAGCCGGGTTCAGTCAAGGCAACGAAGTTTTTTTTTTTTTTTTTTGCAGATGAGCTGCTTGGAGTTGTCTGGCTCGATCGGCGCATCCGTATTCAGCCGTCTAGACTCTAGGCCAGGAGTGGCAGGCCAGAATTCGTATGAGTAGGAAAGCCTCCGCAAATCTCAGGGTTATGATATCTTCTAGGCCAAGCGGGCTGCAAAACGGTGAGCAAAGAACAACAAGCAAGGTGAGGGGAACAGGATCAGATACGTACCGAAAATGAAGGTAAGGCGAGGTACGTACTTATTGGAGAATGGGAAAATGCTGGAGGTGTGTATGGATAGTCACTATGGTGTGGTGTGTGGTGTAGCTGACTCCGCCTTCACCCCTCCCCCCATGTCCGACACAGCCGCGATGGAAATAGGACGGGTCCTAACTGGTAGGGAAGACGTTGGTAGGTCGTAGGCGTCCCTAACGAAGTCTGGTTTAACGTCTATCGAATCCATCTGATTATGGAAAGAGGTCGGGGTTGGAGGGTTGATCGCGACAAGCCTGCCTCTAGGCATCAAGATAAGGTCGAATTGGAGATGCACAAATCTCGTTTGAGCTGAGATGAGTTCTTGCTTCTGAGAATTTGGGGCTTGGAACGGCCCGCGAGGGCAAGAAGGAATAGACGGGCGGGCGGGCGGCGGCGGCGGCATACCGCGGCTGTTGACGCAGGTAGTGCGCAGACTTGTGCGGTAGTCATGGCTATCGTGGTGGTGGTCATGGTTGTTGGAGTTCGAATTTTTCTGTATCACTACGACTAGACGATGACGACGACGATACCGTCGCTTGCTCCTTTGGCTTTGAGGGTGTCCCGTCGATGGCTGCGCGACGCCCACGCGCCTCTCCGAGGTCTTCCGCGGGAGGATGAGGCACAGGACCAAGTGATGCTGCGTCAAGGGCGTGTCATCCTCCGAGTCCGAGAATTGCGAAGGAAGAAACGCAGCCCAGTCCGAGATCAACGTGGGATTGAGGAGCCATGCAATGCAGATGCAGTGCGAGGGAAGACGACGTGGGTGCCACCCGGTTGGTGTCGACGACCTGGTGATGGATCAGAAAGGGCTGGCCTGGCAAGTTGTGAGCGTTGAGAGCGACACTGCAAAGGTGAGGGAGGCATCTTACTGGACCGCCCGGACTTTTAGAGGGGCGCCCCCGCCGTCTGTCAGCCTTCACCCAACGGACGAGGAGGGCAGGCGTGGCAGGGTGCAGGGGATGCTGCGGACAGAGGTGAAGAAAGTGCAGTGCAAGACCACAACGGTGGGTACCTTACCTTGCTCTGTCCTGTACCCTGAGGTAGTACCTAAGGTCCGTAAGGTAGGTATTGACACACCTCACTCCTGGGTACGTAGATATTCCGTGTATGGCTACGTTACCTTCTTTCCTCCCAGTTGACATATTGCGTAGATTCCGCGAGGTACGGATACTGGATGTTACACTACCCTTGCTGGGCGTGCAGGCCTGGAAGTGACGACTGACTGTAGGTACTGTATCAGCAGTGAAGGCAATCTCAACCTACCTTACCTTAGGTAGTCAATGCTCAACACGCCGTCCGGTCTCCTTATTGCCACTTCTCATGGGGAGAGTCGAGACTGTCATACCTTGTCCCGTCATCCCCAGAGACATCATCCTTACAAACTGAACCTTCGGTCCCGAGGCAAGCTCTCTCGTCCGAAATCCTTGCCGGGTTCACCGAAGACGTTCATCCTTGGTTCTGGCTCGTGCTTGTCGGAGACTCTCCGCCCCCAAATTTTAATCTCAGGGTGGAGTGAGCGGTTCAATTCGCTACCCGAAACTCTCGCAAGGGCCAAAAGTTGGTACCTATTGCAACCTCAGCTTCGCCAAGTACCCAACGTCGTAGTACTTACTGTGGTCATAGTGTAGGTAATACTTCGCTCTTCCTCCACACCCCGACTGGCCTTCCCATATAACTCAATCTGCTCTCTACTGAACCCCCTTTCTAGAGACTGGAGTAACAACTCGACACCCTGCCCTGTGAGGCACATGGCTTACAAGGAAAGGCCAGGAGTGGAAGACGGGGCGAGAGAGCCGTGAGCAGGGAATGAAGCGGCTTTTGTGGCATGAGGGGGGACAGCATCCATCATTCATGCGCTGAATGTGCCCGCATCTGTACGGATGATAAAAAGAAGACCAGGGGCACCACCTAGAGAATCTGATGTCATCTTTCGTAAGTCGCCTGCCTTGGGAGTCGATGTGCGGCAAAATATCGAATGAGAGCTGAGGGAGGATATGAACAACGTCGTACCCATTTTGGGATAGTCGAGTTTCTGGTCTTTGCTAGGTACGTTCATGGGTTATCAGTTCACTGCAACCAGTAAGACGAGAGCAGAGACGAGCTCACTCTTCTGAACAGTGCCCTTCTTCCCCAGGCTAGCCGAAAGTTACCCCTTCCTGACGCCCGTGGATTATCCGTCATGCCTGGAATTTCGCAAGAGACTCGGCCATGATTAGACAGGCCCGAGGTTGACGGTCGGATGGGCAGACCCTGTTCGTAATGGCTCAAAGAAAAAGCGTGACCAAAGATCAAGAGATCCAAATCCCCGTGGATTTGAGCGAAGAAGGGTTGGGGTTACGAAGGGGTCCAGTACCTATCGGTGGGGGTTGGCGATGGCAAGTATCCGTAAACCTGCTCGTCCGGGCTCCAGCACGGTTACCAAAGGTGCCTGACTGGCTGGCTGCAACACTTGGGATGTGCAATGATTGGTCCCTGGTTTCTGGATCCAACCTCCAGGTTACGCTGTTGCAGCCTTCTGCAACCTCGATCTTACTCCCGAACAGGCTCGGGAGTAAACACCTCGAACGCATGGTAACCTTGCGGGTGTCCATAGCCTGTGTCCGTAGTGTACAGTCACGGACAGATGTCAATAATTGAGCCCCCTTGGGATGTGATCCGGGGGCTCCCCGTGCTGGGTAAACGCTAGTCTAGGCGGATGACTACCACGCCAACCGCTTGAGAGTTGAGATTACCGTCATTAGAGTGGCCTCATGCTCCACATGAACGTGTCGGCGGACCCAGAGCGACTACAAATGATCCTCGAGCTTCCGTGGCAAACCGACCCTAGTCCCGAATTCTCGTGCGCGTTCGGCCCCATTACGCCCGTCGGTGAATGACTGCGAACGGGGGAGACTGGGACCTACGACTGTCGGGCATGTCGGTGTTGTCATCCGGGCTTCATTTGCGCGGCTTGGTGTAGTATCCACGACACGGCAATCCGCGCCCAATACCAGCTATTTTCGTATCGAAAATGAAAAAGATCGGGAAAAGGAGAAAAGGGGCCGCCGTTCGGCAAAATCGAAAATTAGACTCGCGACAGGCCAAGGAGCTATCAGCTGTGAGCAAGATAGCACAGACGACTGCTGTAAGACTCGACTGTCCTATCCTTTGACAATACGAGTTGAAAACGCTGTCTGTCTAGGGTGGCTTGCGACGGACGGTTTGGCGTCATGGATATACGCAAGCTCTGTGTCCCCAGGAAGAGACATTCATACTCGCTGGTGTTTCAGCTATTGCAGAAAGATCCAACTTGCCACCGGCCACACGCAATGACGCGAACTGTAGGCAGCTTCAATTACAGTCGATGCAGCTGTGAACTTGCGACAACTCTTCGACCAACCAATGCATGGGGCTCCCAGACTGTTTGCCGCAAGGTTGGGGGCCAAAACCTAACCTTTGTTATATTATATAAGCAGAATGTGCAACGGGCAAACATTCACGTGGAGCTGTGACTCCAGCGACCCGGAAAAGTATCGGGCCCATATCCTACCGGTTTGGGGAATCGCCATAAAGTGAGGTTGCATTGGTGATGGCCCACTCTGAAGGCATGCCAAGTTGACAAGTGGACAACAAGCTGTCACAGGTCCTGACATGCTGTGGCCATCTACTCTCCTCGTGCGCCATTGGACGGAATACTCGACGACACTCGTTGCGTCTTGGGCCTTATTGGCCACCACGCGACCTGCAAGTGCAATCCTTCAAGACTCGTCAAGCGTCTGCTATTCGATGATAGCAGTAGCGAAGTAGGCGCAGCAAGTTCGACCTGAGACGCCAAAGCATGGTCTAGCTAAGTGCAGCTGCTTCCTTTTCTGGTTGTTCGGGATTTCCTGGTATTCCAATGACCCCTCTCTAGTTATTGAAAGTCTTCGTCCCAAAGTCGAATGATGGGTTCTGGCTTTTGTCAGAGCTCGAGTACCTGTGGCTGTCTCTATCCCTAGCCCCGAAAGCTCCGGGTAACCAAACGTGTGAGCCCTTTCTTTATCATCCGTTCCAGTGGCCGAAGTCCTCAACAATCGTCCGAAGTCGTAACGTTGCTGGTAGAACAAGCTGGGGCTGTTAAATTGCTGATTTCAGGCTCTGAACTCACATCCAGGGACATGAGCATATGCTTATCACGTACTCCGAGATCGTGGGAGGCTGTGGTAACGATTCCAGAAGAGCTATCGCTTTGGATTACAGGAAGACGCCGCTCTAGCAGTCAAACAGCACTGCATAGAATATGTTGAGACACTCCGTAGCCGCTCGTCGTCTTTCTTGTCGCTTGCGCGCTACGGGTAGGCTGACGACCTGTGATGACTTCCAGGCAGCAGTATTATTGAGGTCCACTGATGGGCTAGGCGGGCGAATTTGGACAAGGTTGGTGGCTTGATCCACTGCCGTGCCGGTCGGGAGCATCCCACAGCCCAGTCCGTCTGCATCCATATCGATTCACCCTCCATCTCGTCGAAGGCTAGTCGCTCAGAAGCCAGCCCTGTTGGGCGCGAAGTGGCGAAGTCACCGGCAGGACGCTGATGTACATTGGCGGCGGGGCGAACAGGTGGCACGAAAACGGTGCTACCTACTGTCACTTGCAAAGGATCATGAAGCAACTGTGGTCAACGGCTAATGATGGTTGAAAAGCAGGGGCCGGCTCATAGGGCGACAGTGGAACAGCCACATGGAAGCTCTGGAAAGGACTGTGCCGCTTTCAAGCATGCACTATCTCGTCTACCCGGCTGCTTTGATTTGCAGGCAGACGTTAAGGGGAAGCCATGGAGCTGTGGCCCCTGATGAGCAGGCGTTCAGATCGGAAGGATTGCAGACTGGGTCATCTTCAGAACCACGAGGTAGCCGATAAGTAACGTTGAAGCGTTGACGACAAATGCGGCAAGCTTGAACAGAAGCATGATAAGTCTCATCCTTTTCATGTAGGTAAAGCTGACAGGCTTCATCCGTAGGGTTCATGTCGAAGTCGTGACAGCCTCTTCGTATAGACAAGCGTATATCGAATGACCAGGTCACCCCGTGATATGCTTGTCCATCATTTCGACCTCGCTCGGGGTTAG